ACTAAGGCGAACATCTAAAATACCCGTAATTTAGAGCGAAATTTTTATAATACCTATTTTGCACTCCGATGCGCTGTTGCTTAAATATATTTAAAAAAACCTCAACCAGTTTTTCTCCTTTTTACTAATTTTGCGCTAAAAAGGTTGTAGCTTTTGAAATTTCCTATAAAATGACCATTTACTTTAAATAAATTGGTCCAGTGTAGGCTGGACAATTCACCACATTTTGACGTTTCTTAAAAATATGATTTTAACCCTTTAGGGATTTATAATTTGTTGTTGACAAATTTAAGTTATTTAAAAATGTGTATATTAAAAGCGCAATTTAATAGGTATTAAAACTTTGTAATTTACTTCTTTTTTGTGGATGCATTGTTAAAGAAAAAGCTGCGTGATATTGCGCTCGACGCTCCCGCAAAAACAGATCTCGCGACTTCGAGCGTAGATTGTCCAGTCCTACACTGGACCAATTTAATGAAATGAAATACGAAATTTAAATTATAGGAAATTTTTAAAATAAATATTTTAAGTTTATTGGCATTTAGGGCGGGCCACAGCGGCGCGGGGGTTGTTTGGATCAATCCGAAAAGCAGAATGTAAACTAATCATTTTATGATTTTTTAATTAAAAAAATAAAATATCAACCCGTATAATAGTATACGAAAAATATACTCCGATTAAAAAGTCTTACATTATGAATATGACATTATGCAACCAAACTACTTAAGTGTTCATTGAGTTGCCTACGTGCATTCGTTCTATAGGTCATCAATAACTTATTATTCGGTACCTTAGAAGTTTCTAAAAGTTCTAAAAGCAGCTGAACTGTTAAGCGAAAATGACTTATCTACAATATTAAATATTTCAGATAAGCCATTTTCGCTTAACATGGAAACTGCACTTAGAACCCTCTCATTCTAAGGTACCGTATTATTGAAAATAAGGCGCGGACTTTTAGGTTATAAAAAGGTCAAAAAAAGTAGAGTTCTAAATTAGGTGACATAATCGCAGATTATAAAATTAGGTTAATATTTTAGGTAGCTAAATTTTAGGTACCTGCTTAAATAAAGGGACGTGTTTCTGTCACGGTATCATTCTTCATGTAAGGATCGAAACGAAACTGTATCAAAACATGCGCCACAAAAAATAATAACAAAACTTTAAGAAACAATACTTATTAGTACCAAAACGGGTAACAAAATCTTGGTAACGGTTTCAAAGGAAACAAAATTGCTTTCGAAACTGTTCATAACAAAAATTGAAGGAGCGCAGCTAGTACAGAAACACAGGTTATTGAAACGAAACTAGTAACAGTAACTGAGTAACAAAACGTTGAATTTTCAAAAGTTTTTACAAAATGCTCAACAACTATCTTAGGCCCAGTTGGTAAACAGCTGGTTAACTCTTTATAATAATTATGTAATGATCAAGCTGACTTTTAGGTTGTATAAACATGAACAAATCGGTGAATTTTGTGTGATTAACGCCGGGTTAACAGAACACACAAAACCTTATAGATATTCATTATTTTTTCCAGTGACTAGAGGCACGCTAACGTGCTGCGATTCTAAATGTTAAAGGCACGTTAGTTACGACATAATAATAATCCGTTTTTGTTTCCCGAGCGTTATATTATTGATGTCAAGCTAGATAGCTCAGATGGTAGGGCGGTCGCTTGGCATGCGAGAGGTACAGGGTTCAATACTCAGAAGTTGTAGAAATTTTTTTATTTTTTTATTTCAAAAACTTATTGTTTTTTTGTTAAAAAGTGTTGGGTTGGGTTGGTTGGTTTGTTTTATTTTTATCGTAACATAAAATCTTAAAATTATGACGTTAAATAATTATGACGTAACTAACGTGCCCTAACATTTCGAATCGCGGCACGTTAGCGTGCCTCTAGTCACTTGTTTTTCATCCTAGAAAATTTTTTGTTAAACATGAGTATTTTACAGTTTTAAATAAAGAAAATACAGACAAAAAATTTTATAACGTTTTTAAATGGAGAAATATCAGCCCTTATTTTTTTAGGCGTATTCATGCTCACTTAAGTTAAAACTGTGTAAAGTAATGGTTGCGTTCATGTTTATGAAAATAAAAAATAAGAAACAAGCAATAAGACTAAAGATAAATAATTTTTAACTTGCGCTCTTATTTTTGGGCATACAATTGCGCAGAAGGACAAAATAGGTCTGTGAATTGGTTTTATGTGTTGGCCATGAAGGGATCGCCTATTCTTATCAATAACAACTAAAATACAGATAACCATGTACACTTACTGCTGTCATTACACCCATAGAACACCTCCCGCAACTAAATGGTGACAACATTTTTTATTTTTTATGTTATCAGCATCGCGACCTTATTTCTTATTTATTTTTTTTCTTACATATTATGTATAAAGTTTATACTATAAACCCTTACCTTATTTTCTAATTTTTATTTCTTAATTCTTATTTTAAGTAAGCATGGATTCGCTTTTTAAAAACTAATGAAAAATAAGCGCTTTCTTTTGGGCAAAAAATTTAATTAACTTTACGATTTTTGGCAACAAGTTAATTTTCTTTTCTACAATGTTCTTATATTTTCAACCATACAAAGCAATAGCCAAGATTATTTTTCACTAAAGTTAGCGACCCTTTTACCAGAATCTTTCATTTTTGACTGACAAGCTAAAGCCATTTTTTAGTATATCTTGTACAAAATATCAAAAACACAAACGTAACAGAAAACTCACCTGAAAGAAAAAATACAATTAAAGCTACTTAGAATAATTGCCCAGTTAGCAAATTTTCGTATTTGTCAATTGTCATAATTGATTGCCAACCAGGGCCGGATTTAGGCATGGGCCACATGGGCCCGGGCTCAGGGCGGCAAATTTTTAGGGGCGGCAAATTTTGAAGGCCAGTTAAAATTTTGCTAAAAAATCAAGAGCGTTTTATGCAGAATTTTTGTTTTCACTCAGATTTATACACTAATTAAAACTATAAAAAGTTGGAAGAGAAGTTTTTTAATACATTAGATAATTTTATATCAGACTACAATATTATTCTGCGTAGTGCGTCACTGCGTAGAAGGGCGCGTTACAAAGAATATTTTAGTAAGTTTATTGGTATTAATTTATTTATTGCATACATTAATGTACAATTATTGTTACGATTTTTAAGGTTTCGTTTTCAATTAATCTTTTATGTTACTAGGAACGATAACGGCAGAAACGGAGTTTCGTTTCTAATTATGTTTTAATCTTTCTATGTTACTGGGAACGATAACGGCAGAAACAGAGTTTCGTTCATATACGAGGTTATGTTACAAATCCCTGCTTAAATAAAAAAAATTGGCCAATTTATTAATTTTGCATTTTTTACATTATAATTGCTCGGTAAATCGCTAAATATCTTGGTAAATAAAGGATTTAATTAAAAAAAGTTATTGGTAATAATAATTATAATAAACGATTCTTTACAAATAATTAAAATATTAATAATAAATTAATTAATGGGCCATTCCACGCGTAACGAATAGGACAGTTGCCGTGTTTTTATTTACAAAATAATATTGTTCTATTATATTACCAATGTCAAATTTTTATAAATAGTTCTAAACTAAAGCTGTTTAACAAGGTTTTTATTTGGCAAAATTAGGTATCGTTGTTTAATTCCTTAAAAACTAATAATTTAAAGCGTAACGGACGGGACTTTGTAATAGTCCCGTCCGTTACGCTTTAAATTATTAATTTTTAAGGAATTAAACAGTCAATCACGATACCTAATTTTGCCAAATAAAAACCTTGTTAAACAGCTTTTGTTTAGAACTATTTATAAAAATTTGACATTGGTAATATAATAGAACAATATTATTTTGTAAATAAAAACACGGCAACTGTCCTATCCGTTAAGCGTGGAATGGCCCTAATATTAAATATCAAAATAAAAATAATCTAAAATAAAAAAAAATTACAACGAAATAATAAATTTTTGCATTTTGTTTTTCAAAAATGATCTTAGGAGCGGTTTTTCATGTTTTTCTTAAAATAACTTATCCTGCAAATACAGAGTCGTGCATCTAATGTACTCATATAATCTAATACAAGACGTTGTAAAGAATCTCCAAAAACAATGGTTATAGATTCGGGTTTTGTTATTACAAGACACTTCGCTGAATGAAAGAGTATGAAAATATTTGACTTTGTGACCCTGGAGGGACAAAATTTGAATCCCCCAGTGCCAAAATACAAAATCTACAATAGATTGATTGATTTATGAATGATTTCCACGATCGATGGGTGATGGGTAAAATATTATATAAACATGGTTGGAATTTAACTATAAAAATTGAGTTTAAGTAATAAAAAATGTATTATGTATTATATGATTTATAATCTGTGATTACACGGAAAACGAACTGAAGAAGTATTTGGATGAATTTTTCTAAATGTATGTAATGATTAAATGGTTTGGACAAGTGGGAGATGCATATACATACATGTATATATAAAATTTGAATGAAAGAAGAAACAAGTGAGAAAGAAAAAGTGAAAACAATTAATTGATTTTTAAGAAGAATTAAATAAATGATTTTTAACTGTATTGAAACAAAATGTATATGGAAATAGGGTATACAAGTATAGGGTATATAAGTAATTAAGAAAAATTAAAAAAAAAACGAATTGAATAAGAAAATAAGTGTAAAAAAAGTGAGTGATTCGTTACTTAAAAAGTTCGGATGCACTCGGACTCTATATCTTTACTGTGATTTAGATTTATACAAAAATCGACTTTTTTTAATGGATAATTGTTAAAATATGTTTAATTAAGTATAATTCGTTTTAAAATTTAAACAAATTTCTTTAGTGCCAGTCCGAAAATGTTTGTAAGGGTTATATTATTTGTAACACTAAATTTTAAGTAAATAAAAAAATTAAAAATTGTTTAAATTTTTACATTCAGAATCGATTTTTTTTCTTACATATTATGTATAAAGTTTATACTATAAACCCTTACCTTAATAAAATTGTGAGGTGAATGTCATGACTGAACTTGTCCAAAGCAGTGGTCCCATCTACCCTGACAGCGTTTACTTTATCTCGAAGCGATTGCGTACTGCTGATAGGCGGATGTCTCTCTCGTAAAATCTCGTAAATATTCGGTTGTCTTAAAAACGCAACCACTTTATCGTTGTAAGCGACTGGAAGATCTGGAATGGGGTTTGCATTTGACACAAAGCTGGTGGTCGTTATTGTAGACCTTGGCGGTGGAGTTGGAGCCTAAAAAAAAGTGATTGGATTAGGTTTAAATTTTTTCAAATTTTAAATATAAATAAAGGTTAGTATTATTAAAGCCACTTACTTCAATGGAAACTCTTCTAGAAAAACTTAATGTTTCAGTAGGCACTCTAGGATCCATGTAAGTTGTGCGTTTGTTAGTATGGTCAATGAAGAATTGCTGATAAAAAATTATCAATGTTAGTTTGTTAGTATTATTATAAAAATTATAATATCGTTCGCTTATAATAAATTTTTTTAAAATTTAAGGCAGTAAAAAAAATATTTTGTTAGCTTTAAAATGATAGGTAATTAGTTAAGCGATGGTGCTGAATATTTCTCAACGGGTCAAATTTCTCAATACCTCCCTGAAGTATTTGCAGTCAAAGTTCTGATTTCTACACTAGTCAAGCCATCAAATCTTTTGCTGATGAATGTTATTCATTCTGTCTTACGTGGTGGTATTTGGGACACGTATAAATGAATATTGTATGCTCTATACTTAAGTTGAGGATTCAAATTCAAGTATCAAGTGGAAGAGAACGTTTTGGGATATGGAGTAAAAAAATTTTTGAGGTATCTAAAAAAAATGTTCGAACAAATTGTTCAATCCGTTCGAACTCTTGTTAAGGTGCGGATCTACAATGAGAATATACCATGAGATTTTCGTCTCATGAGATAACAATTTCAGGAAAAAATGGATTTTGTTGTGGAAACAGGCCTAAGATACGTAATATACTAAAGACAATCTCGTTAAGCAATGTTTTATGACAATTTAATTTCTTAAATAAGTTTCAACGTGTAAACATGATATGTTACGAATCTCCCCTGAGACATTTATTTCACTTGATGCACGTGAGTTTCGATGTTGTATCGTGAAATAAAAAAATATATTTTTCCCACAAATGAGCTTTAGTGAAAGAAATAAAAAAAAAAGTGTAATTTTAACTGGACAAGAATATTGAAGTTAATCGACTTATACGAAACTTTATTTTGTCCAGCTAATATCGCGAATCATTGGCGGACATTATAACATATATGATCTTCCCGTTCTAGATATTTTAAAAATGTCTCCATTATATTCTTATTGTGTTTTTTTAATCCAATCTCTCACCCAATACCTTTTGTACGGGACAAGCTGCAGCTTCTTTCTCGTCCTTGTTTTATAACACACTTACATTAATTAGTAATTAATAATTTTACTTTTAATTATTAAAAAAAAAATTGTTTGTTTCTTTCAAATTACAGAACATGTTAGATACTGTGAAAACAACGCATTCAGAGACACATTCAGGCCAATTCACTAAGTCGTTAACCTTAGCCACTAGAATCAGTGGTTATCGGCCATTCCTTCTAATCAGGCCGTTTAGATATAATGATAACCACTAAATCTTGTGGCTAACGTTAACGACTCATGTTAGTGAATTGGCCTAATTATCCAATAAGAGTAACATTTCGTTTCAGAGAGATAAATTTCTCAAAAGACAAAAATCTCCTTGTGGACACCTACATTGCTGCCGGGTTACCTATAAAAAAATGGCCGCAATTACCTTTAATTATTATTTATTGTAATTAATTTTTGTCCATCAATTCCAGTCACGTTCGAGTACTCGTCAAAGTTAGTCGCATCTTGCCGTGTCGCACTCTTGAAACTTACAAACATCAAAGCTGGCAATTATTGCTTATTAAGTGCAAATAGTCTGTAGTGTGGCAACTAGTGTGTGTAGACCACCCTACGGTCAGGGAAGTGTTGAAGTGGAGGTGTACAGTGACACCTTACGGGTGGTCGACCGCGGTCTAGCCACGCATTTGGAAGCTTTTCACGAGACAAACAAAAGAGGATAACCAAGGAAGGAAAGGCCAATCTGCAATTCCCGATAAGTAACCTTAAACATCTGCATGACCTAATATATTATTTGCCACCACGACAGGTACCTTGAAAAACCCTAAATGAGACACTTTTCGCTTAAACATGAGAAAAACTAACCACAAAAAAAAATAAACAAAGTGCACCAGTAACATTAAGACAATAGTAACACAACAACAAAAAAAAAACAAAACAAAACCGCCCCAACTCTTAACTCGGTCACAGGAAAGCTGACTAGGACAATAAATCTACTAATAACAAACGACCAAGAATAAACCCATAAATTAAAGAAAACGGCCAAATAAACACTTCAAATCCAAACGAACATTAAATTAAGAAAACATAAATACAGAATATAAACACACAAACCGAATTCTAATGGAATTGGTAATTAAATTAGTATACATTGGAAGTCAAAAAATACCTCCCACCGGTAACTGTCTAATCGCATCAATTGCACACCAACTGTTTAATACAAAGATAGGATTGCAACGCGAAAGAAAACAGCCGAGACAAGACAATACCAAGTGCAGGAACAACCCGACACGGACAGACAATAACGGTCAAGACGTTGACCACGACCAGTAAGGCCCCTGCAAACCGGTGCTCTACTGTCACTTTTATAAAAATTAATTTTATTTTTCTATAAATATTGTTAATAATTTTAAAATTAATTATCTTCTTTGTATTTCTGTTATGAGCTAAACTTTTTGCATCTTTGTTTGTTTTTTATGGGCCATTTAACTATGGAGCCTATATGCATTTAACTCTAACAATAATTTGTTGTTGGCCGCAACTTGAAACTTGCGTCCCACAAGAATTAAAAACGATTAAAGAAATTATTTTTTTTTACTCATCTTAAATTAGTCAAACTACTTTATTAATTAATTAAAAAAAATTCAAATTAAAAATAACTATTTGAAAATGAAAAAGAATATTTTATAAGTAAACAGTGCTGGTACTAATTCAAATAGTAGAAGTTTGAATATTTCATTTTAAGAGAGAGGGGACAGGAGATCGTGAGGATGTTGCAATGTCACTACTTGTACCATGATCTTCCGCAGGGAGGTTTTAGAGGCCGGATTACATATCCACGCTCTGTTTACAGCCAACCACACCACCAAATTGCGGACCTTTTACGTTGTCTTCTTTTTATTTTGTATATTTTATATTGAAATAAATTTGATTTGCGATCGCATAGCATGCGAGAGGTACCGGGATCGATACCGGGCCCCTGCATATAACTTTTTGTTTTTTTTAACCAATGCCTGCACTTACGTTCTCAATACCGCCAACATGCATTAATTTATCACAACATTGAATATAGTGCATAATTTCCACAAGGGTTCAAATCTTTACAGTAAAGTGTTTTGAATACAGTGAATATTTTTTTGTTTGCAGTGCACCTAACCAAACCCCTATTTTTTTAATCACACAATAAATTATTTGGTTTGAAATAAGAAATTTGCACGAAGGGCTGTTTAGTGAGAAAAGGCGACAACTATTATAGTATAGTAATGCCTTAATAGTATACTGCCATGCTAAGCACATAGGCGGTATTTCACTCCAACTTTTGCGACGTAAATGTGAATATCAATGTCTCGTTTGTGCATCATTTGTGACTCAAGCAGTGGCGGCTCGTCAGGGTAGGCCTCTGAGCCTCACCCTCAAAATGAAGAAACGAACGCCCTTTTGGACTGTGCTGATTTATTGGGACAGTTAAACTTCCTTGTACCGAGACCTAATAGTAGGCAAACATTAGTGTTTAAATGTCTAAGAGCACGTACTAAAATTTTAATAAAGTCCCCAATTTATAACATGTCCATAACTTTTAATAAAGTAGCAAATCTTTGTGATATACATTATTCTAGTCTTAGAGATATATTGAAATGTTTTGAATTGTATTTATATTTATTTTATATTTACACTTTATTTATGTTTAATACCGTTTATGTATCCATTCATTTATTTATTTATATTTACACCACTATGGTACCATGTTTTTGATTTTTTGATATTTTAATATGAATGTCCTGTCAGGTTCCAGCACTTGAGAAGGCCCCACGCGAGAGCGAAAGCTCTTAAAACGTAAAAGTTTAAAAATTAAAACCAACAATAGTTTTTAAAAAGTGCTAACCAATTATAGTGAAACAAACAATTTTCAAAGAGAGCAAACTAAAATGGTGTAACGGTCAATGAGGAGTGAAGTGTTAAGTGATATGAATGAGTTAGGTGCCACCTGTCATTGGACGCTTTTCACTGGACAAACAAAGGAGGTCAAACAAGAGGGGAGGTGGCCATCCGCAAAAAAATTGATAAGTAACCTTAAGCATATGCATGACCTAACACAAAATCTGCAAATTAAACACGGCAGATATCTTTAAAACCCTAAGAAAGGCACACTGCGTAGGGCAATAAATCTGTCAACAACAAATGCGTAAGGCAAACCCAAACGAGACCGAAAATAAACACTAGACACACAGAATAAACTAACACAATAATCATTACAACCCTAACATAGTAAAAAAAGCATAATAGTCAAACTCTACTGGATTTGTAAACATTAGATATCAGAATAATTCCGCTTGTCATTTGTTTAACTAATAAATAAATGCAATACTTAATTTTGGAATTTAAGAAAAAAAGACAAAACTCTTCCACAAAACGTGCTTGGGACAAAAATTACGCAAACTTGAACGTAAGATCATTACACTACTAACGACAGACTTACCCGACTACCATCACCAACATCCCCGTGACCTGCTAATGGGGAAAACCATTACCAAAAGAGTAAGAGTAGCCCAATTAAAATACTGGGCCCACGTCACTCGTAGGCAACGCAACAACATACTACAAGCCACCCTTAAACTTACAGACAAAAAAGTCGGGAGACCATGCTTCACATATCATGACACTTACAAATTAACAAGACCAGTTGGGAGCAACTAAGCAACAATAAAATTAAAATAAAAAAAACAACTGACACACTTTACTAAGTGCAGGAACGACAATAACGAACAAGACGAAGACCTCGACTAGGGGTTGGGGTGTTGTTTTTGGTAAAAAAAAAATATTGAGACTAATTTGTTTGATGCCTAGTTCACACACAAAAATACAGGAATTTCTGAGTAAAAGTGCAAAATTATAACAAATTTTGCTTCCGAGTTCTCCGTTATATTTGTATATTGTATTGTATTTGTTTTTACTGGTAGGTTTGTTTTATTTAAATAACACGCTTTCTTGGTCAAAAAAATCAATGGTTCAGACGCAATTCGGCCGATATCGGCTTCAGTGCGGCCGATATTGGCAAAGCATATATATAAATAAAAAATATAACAGCATTTTTTAATTAGCGAAACTTAATTATTTAAGCATGTTAGTTAAGAAACTTCAATAAAAGACAAATTATGATTAATTTTCTCATTTTTTACCTTATCATTTCTATCCTTTTTAGAATCCCAACCAACCGGTAAGTCCAAAGCATAGTCAGCAAATAAATTCACCAGAGCCACCAAGTCCTTATTGTGTTGGTATTTATCAAATACTAAAGGATCTCTTCTAATCCTTACTATCATATGTTTTAATGTTGGATTTCTGTTGTACACAGACAAGGCTTCCTAAAAAATATAAAATCTATATTATCAGGATGTTTTTTTGTACAATTTGATAATTTGGTGATTCTGTTAAAATAGAAGTTTTTTAACTTTTTAAAAGTTTTGATTAAGACACCAAAGGTTTACCTGAAAATGTCAGAATTTGTTTAATATACTTTATCTACCCCTATTGCATAATATTGGATTTATCCTAATAAATAGATATTTTCTCCAAAAAGTAGATAATTAATAAAATTATTTTTAAAATTAAATAGCTTGCCATACACAGACGTTATTGCGCGCGGTTTATCGTGTTATCTGCAAAAATATATGGAAAATCATGTACGTGAGTGAGTATCGCCTCGCGCAATGATAGAACAGGAAGGTATTTCAGACGTGCTTTTCTCTCAGCAGTGTCCACACGCCACACGCCACACGCCACATTCCGCGTCACGGTTTACCTTCGCTTGGCGAAATTTCACGTTGAAAATGAAAATTTGTACATGATCACATGCAGTTTCAAACGTCGCGAGAAATGACACTTTTTGCCCACTCACATACGATTTTTCCTTTGAAACTGATATACCACGCGCAATCACTTGCTAAATCATTTGAATACTTTATCAAGTGTATGGAACATGACGCTTTTTTTGCCATGCCGTTCTTTCGTGCATACTAACCGCTACATCCCAACACGCCACGATAAACCGCGCGAAATAACGTCTGTGTATGGTCAGCTAATAAATAAAATCGGTTAAATGGTTAACTTGACTTTTTACCAATTTTCAATGTTAAAAGTCGCATTATTCCTATTTAAAACCCGATTGGATCAATCCCTGACGTTGTCAGGCAGGGTATTTATAATGTTTATCAATATTCACGAAAAAAAAAGCAATAGGAGACATTTGTATCGTGATAACTTATGCGTCTGTCACAATAGTGTTAATGTTAGGGTAATGTTAATATCCAGTATAGTATAGTATAAAATGCGTGTATCCGTTCACAATGATGGTAATCGTGATGTTAATGGTTGTGGATAACGAATCGTTATCCACAATCGTTATTAACGATCCAAAAAATGTCTGCATTTTACCATTACCATTACATCTCCTGTACCATCTACCAATGGGAGCAATAAACGCACGCATGCGCCAATCGCACAAAAGTGACGTTGAATGTTTGTAGGTTAGTTTCAGTGTTGCCGTTCTAGTACATTTGTACTAAATCTAGTACATTTTGAAGAACTCAGTACAAAAGTACATTTTCTTACAAATGTCCCTTAGTCTAGTACATTTTAAACATTGTGAAAAATAAAGGAGAATTACCGAAAAAAACGACACCGGCAATTTTTGACTTTGAATAACGCGGCATCAAATTTTGTGTGGCAACATCGCATTGCTTACGTCAAGTTTAATTTACATAAGAAGTGCGGCGTTGCCAGTGCAACCCGAACAAACCTAATGACCTAGCATCGAATGTAACGAAATCGAATTTTGTGTGGCAACTTGCCAATCATTAGGTTTGTTTTCGCAACACCCAAGCAAGAGGAGTTATAGACAATTTCACGCTCTACAAACATCTGAAGGTCAAAGTTCTTCAGGTCAACCGTTTCAAAGATATCAGCGATCAAAAATAACACTAATAAAAAATTTCAAATATTTTCAAATAAAATACAAAAAAATATCATATGCCATATTTATATTATTTTTTATGTAAAATCACTATAAGTCTGTAAGACTGTAAAATTTTTTTATTTATATAGTATATTATATATACATATACATATAATATGTCATATATACATAAAAAAAAGTTTACAGTCTCAGGTTAACAGAATTAAAGTGATTTTATATAAAAAATAATATAAATATGGCATATGATATTTTTTTGTATTTTATTTGAAAATATTTGAAATTTTTTATTAGTGTTATTTTTGATCGCTGATATCTTTGAAACGGTTGACCTGAAGAACTTTGACCTTCATATGTTTTTTGTAGAGCGTGAAATTGTCTATAACTCCTCTCGCTTGGGTATTGCGAAAACAAACCATTCCAAAGTTATAAGAATTCAAAATTTAAAAAATAAAAATTCCCGTGTTATTGAAATGGAAAAACAACAAATGAATTGAGGCAAACCTTAATATTAAGAGCTCAAATATGCGCCAAAATTTTTGTTTTTTTAATGTACCATTAATTTTTCAACACCATTAGAAAAAAAAATAATTTTAGTTTTTTTTTGCAACACCCTAAGGTACATTCTATGAAAAACGGCAATGTTGCACTTTATTGTAAATCTAGTACAATCTAGTACATTTTATTGCTTCCGCAAAGTACATTTTAGAAATTCAGCGCGGCAACACTAACTAACTTAGTTTGGCTTTGTTTCTTTTATGGATGCTTTGTTTATTGTTGTTTTCAAACAGTTTGTAATAAATATCATTAAAATGATTGATGTGCCACTATTATTAGAACAATAATGACATTTCAGGTTAACATTTTCAAAACATTTCACAATGCATGGTTGGCAATCCTTGTTTCACTGCCCGCAAAATTTAAAACAACTTTTTCATTAGGTTTTGTGTTATCTGCTGAAGTAGATGGATCGGCTATCCTTGAGTGGATAATATGAAACTCATCGCATAAATAAGCTGATAATTGCTGAATCCTCAAAATCTACAATAGATTGGTAAAGATGCAAGGGATTTCCACAAAGGATGGTCGTAATATTGAAGGACTGAATATATTTCTGCAAACAGCCATGTGGTGCATAGTCGGTTTTTTTTTTACTTTTTTTTTGCCTCGTAACTTCGCTGCTAATATCGTGATTTTGTATGTGTATGTGTAAAAGTGTAATAAAAGTGACTTCCGCTGCTGATATAAGCTTTATTGAATAAACTCTAAAAAGACAAAAATGATAGTGATGGACATAAGTGAATAAAAAGACTATAAATGAAAAAAGAATCTAAAAGTGACAAAAATAATAATAATTAATAAACTATAAAACCAAGAAGAAAAGGAGAAGCTATAGGTTATCCTAGACTCGCTTGCTCCAGATAATAATAATAAACACATTTAAGCTGGCTAAATCCTGGATGGGAAAGGCCAAACCAAACAAAGAAGAAGAAGAACTTTTTCATTAACATACCGCTTACATTATTGTGAACACTAACACAATTTACATTACCATTAACATTACCATTAACTTTAACATTAACACTATTGTGTATTATACAGGGTTTGCCTTAACTAATTTACATTACAGCAAGAAATAGGAGGTCAAAATGGGTCCATTAAAACAAATATGACTTAGTAAAATGCTAATAACAAGCGAGATACAGGGCGATTAATGTAAGACATTATTTTTGAAAATTTGTAATATTTAGAAAACAATTAAAATGTATTAACTTACAATTTATACAGTATAGTACGAAAAGTAAAAATATTCTTGATAAATACTTTTTTAACGTCAATTCGACCATTGGCGCCCTCTAGTATACCATAAAAATATTCACAATATTTTATTTCTCGTCCAATACTGTAAAAATTTTGAGTTTGATACAATAAATAGTTTTTCAAATATTACAAAAATGTCTCACATTTATCGTCCAATTTCAGTATTGTCCATTAGTTATGGGACACCCTGTATACCACTTTGGTTGTATTTACATTTCTGTGGTTTTATTATGTTGCATTATCATAATATTACCTGGTTCATATGTAAAACCGTAAAAAAGTCTGGCCTAGTGAGCAATTTGCATCCGGGTGCCGTGCTGTTATCCATTTGATCCAATCTGTTGGAGCTAATGGTCCTTCTAATGCTTTGGTATCGCCTATCTAATTGCCTTCTATGCTGCTCGGCTCCAACACCGCTTACGCCTGGCAAAGCCGAGCATCCGGGCCTTGTCCAGGACGTTGTTCTTGTAGCATGGTCGATGTAGAAGACTCTACCATGACTGTCCATTCTTGCTTCCCAAGCTAAAATAGTTATTTACCTAACTAGTACTAGTACTCTCTTCTACAACCGTGCGGAAAGTTACTAACTTTCCCAAGCATTTACTTCCCGCACTGTTGAGCTTGCGGAAAACTTTCTGTACGGTTATTCGTGCGGAAAGTAGCAACTTTCCTTACTCTTGTAAAAAAATAAATTTAAGTATTTTAACTGGAAATAACAACGCTACTCTTGTGTTATGAGTTTATAACAAAATTATATAGAATTGTGTAATAAATCAATAAAGTAGTAAACTAAGTCTACTTGTTGTCGCAATTTTACATAATATGCTATTTCTACTAAGGGGACATGCATTAATTACGTGAGGTATTTTTCTAATAATTTATACCCCCCTCCCCCTTGGTCAGATGTGGTAGACACCCATATCCCTCACGCAGGGCCGTCTCAGTTTTGGCCGCTCCGGGCAAACTTGAAACGGCCGCCCTCTCGAAATACACCGCCATAAAAAATACACTACAAATATTTGGAAACATTTAATTAAAATTGAAAATAAAACTTATAGTAAACTTAAAAACTCAACATAACAAAAAAATATATTAAATTTTGTCTTTAAATAAAATATTTTATTTTACAACCTTGGTTTAATATGGTTTTATCTGCCAAGGCTCTATGTACAATATAGAAATCTACAATATAACTACATAGGTACATAAGTAATACCTAATATTATAGCTAACAAACTTAAAAAAAATCTTTAATAAATAAGCAAAAGTAAAAAATACAAATATCAAAAATGTATTCCAAATTTTTAGCGATTTTTCAAATGACTGTATTTTTGTTAAAAATGGCCGTAACGATGTTAAAAAAAAATCAATTTGAAGCTTTAAGTCTCTAACTTTATCGTGCAATCCTAATGAATATCGTGAAGAAAAATTTTGTTTTATTTTCTGTGTACGGACTTGCATTATTTTTTTTAACTAAACTACCATATAGATCAGATAGGTTGTTTATCCAGCTTTAATTTGTTTGTTTTAAGCCTTGATATGACCATTTCTCGCTAAGCTATCGGGCTTTAAATGAAAAAGGCCTACAAAAAACAAATTAAAGCTGGATACACAACCTATCCGATCCATATGGTGGTTTAGTCCGTAAGCAAAAAATAAAAAACAAAAAAAATGAATTTTTTCTTCACGATATTGATTAGGATTGCGCGATACTTGTTGCTTGGAATTTTTTTTGTCTTAAGACTTAAGGTACAAAATCACGCGAGTGCGGCTTTCTTTTAAGATTTAAGAAAGCCGCACTTCTATTTAAAAACTCATTATAAACATACAAAAAATTGTAGGCAAATAAATCATGTAGTGGCAATTTTTGTTTAATTTTTTTAATGGCCGCAGAAAAAATAAATGCCCAAACAAATGGCTGCCACTTAAACGGCCGCCCCTAAAAAATGGACGCCCCGGGCGGTCGCCCGGTTGCCCGGGTGCTTAAGACGGACCTGCCCTCACGTAAGATTCTAGCCATGAAACTTTCATTGCGGACAACATGATAAACCCTAAAATTGATTTATATTACATATTCTTTAAACTCAAAAGTTGACGTGAGATTTTCAATGACACCCCTCCCTTAAAATCAGATTTGGTGAGATTATGCTAGACCCCTCCCCCCATTTTTATATCACGTAATTAATTAATGTCCCCTAATTCGAAACAAAGTATAAGGTATTACTTGACTTACATGGCGGTAAGGGTTCGGTTTCACCAGGCAATTCAGGTACAGCTAATATTCTATGTCCTCTTTCAGGTATGGACGGCAACCTGGCAGTGCTAAGCCTTTGCAGGGGCAATGGAACACCCCCACTGGCCCCTTCCTCGGATACTCTTGGCCTTAGTGTTAAGCTCGCTTTGCTCATTAGATCTTGGCATCTGATTTCTGGACTTCGAGTGTCTATGTTGCGTAATTCGGACATCGCAATAATGCTTAGATGTGGATTGTCTTTTGCTTTATTTTCTTCTGAATCGGCGGATCCATTGCATGTGCTCCAATCTAAAGGATCGATAGGTCGGATGTCGGCCTGTTTAATTTCTGGAGGTGGCAAAATTTCTTGACCTCCTAGCGGAAAATCCGCAAATACGTCCGATTTTAAGTTTGGTGGTTTTAGATCTCCTCTATTCTTTCTTGAATGATGCGTGGGTGTTGGTGGACAAACTAGACTGCCGCAAGTTGTTCCTGCTACCCTTGCTAAGGCTTTTGGAGCTGGCCTTGTTAAAGGCATGCTTTTTCCTATACCATTACACTTTCTCTGGTGAACCGGTGTTTGTGGTATACTGGAGCAACACGGGTCCTCCAATGAAGTTTCTTCCAAGTCAGGCTGTCTTTTTAGAGGTTTGTGTGGTTTTAAGGTCAAACTCTCTGTTATTTCATCTATTGAAGAGCTGCTTTGCGTAGAGATGGACCCTAGGCTATCTCTGCTTTCAAGAGAAGGATGGGGACTAGAAATACTATCAGCATTTTTACATACAATTGTAGTTATATAATTATCACTTCCTATTTGTTTTTTATCCAAAATAGCTGCTTTTAGTTTATGAGTTGGAGTAGCATTGACATCTACGTCCGATAGAGAGCTCGCTGTCGAGGTGGTACTATACGACTTGTAGTCTTCATCGGTATCTATCAAATCGAAACCAAAAGTGTCTTCCAAGTTTTGCGATTTCTTTGGTTTGTTTTGCCGAAGGACCACAGGTGGAGTAAAATTGTCCAAAGCGTGCGATCTTTCCAGCGGCTTGTGTAAAGTTCTAGGAGGCAGGGGAGGAGCATTTTCAATGAATTCAATATTTTCTTCCGTCGGACTATACGCGGTCCATATTTGATAGTAGTCCTTGCTTGGCGATTTCGCTTTAGAACGAATTTTCTTTTTCGTTCCACCTATAGACTCGGTACTTTCCGAGGTAATCATTCCATTTACCTGTTTTTTCTTAACACCCGATATAATTTGTTCATTTACGTCTTCTATGCTACAAGTTTTCGGCATTACTTCAGATTCTTCTATACTAATAGATTTAATTTGTGGCACTTCGCATTCATCTTGAAACCCGTCATTTTCAATTCCATTGTATTTGTTTTTTTGTTTGACTTTGATCAATTTTTTTAATTTATCACTAGGCTTTTTAATTATAAATTTATCACTTTGGGCTATGCAGTCCAATGTTGTTCCATCGTAGTAACGAAAACATAACAACTTTTCACAGTCTGCAAAATAAAATGAATAAGAAATTAAAGGAAATAAACGTATTACCATTGTGCTGAGGTAAATCGAGCAACCACATTGTACTATTGTCTTCACCATTAACTTCTTGTTTCAGGATACTCTCCTCTGAATTCGTACTATCTAAAATTAAAAAAAAAAACAAAATTAATGTATAACCTAATTGATTTATAAATAATTTATAATTTTGCGTTCTTTCTTTTGCAATAATTTTTACGCAATAAATTATACACCCAGTATTTACCTATTAAAACTAATTAAAAAAACAAAAAATAATTAATTAATAATAATTTTAAAAACGTTGTATTGCTGTTCCCATAAGCGTAATAAAATTTAATGTGTATCCGGTTTTATAAATTTTCACAACATTTTGCAACATACTTTTAAAATAAACTGTTATTAAAAATAAAAATACACATATAAACGTACCACAAAAATGCAAATTGAAAACTAAATGGTGCGTCATGTGTAGATTTGTTTTTTTTTTTTCGGAAGTAGCCGGCGCTACTTCCGGTATTTCCTGCCCATTTTGTGCCGGATATATAATTTTTTCGGTGGACTGACCCTCCATTGCAATTCAATGCATTGGCGGAGATGAAGAGGGTGAAAGGTAATATTCAAAACAAACCCAAACACCTATCTAAATATATTAATAATTTAATATATGTAAATATTTTTAGACAACAAACATAAGTATACATGGTTCTCTAAAATAATATTTGCTGTAAATCAAAGCGTAGATGTGATATATATTAGGTGATACCTATTGTTGTAAATTTTGTTTGTTAAATACACATTTAAATAAATATGAATTAGGTGTATCCTTTCTTTTGGCAATATTTTTTTGAATAGTATGGACAAGGGCAACCCCCCTAAGGCACGAGCGAAAAATTATTTCCAAAAATAAGAGGTTTCCCATAGCGGCAGGCGGCCCTGACATTTGTATAGTCAAAATAAAAAATAATTCCATATCATTACGAAATTTTTGAACCAAGTAGATTGGCAATTTTGTGCGTAATTATAAAAATTAATTTAATATTTTTTTATAAAAAGCAGTTTCCTGTAAAAAAAAAGATCCAGTGTGTCAACCGGAAACGCGTTTTAAAAATGTCATTGTGTCAGATCGCGATGTTAAATAAAACTGTTTCATTTTCTTAGAATATGGAAATGATTTAAAGATATATTATAACAACGAAAAAAATGTTTAATTTTTATTCCTTTTTCAAGTTTTAATAAATTATAATTATATATAGTACTGGTGAAGGCAATTTAAATTTTTTTTTCACTTAAAAAAGCATTAAAAAAAGAATAAAATTTTAAAATGATTAGAAAGCTCGATATTTTGGCTTTAAAACCATATATGTAAGTTTAATAATGAGGTTAAAATTATTTTTTAAGGTTACTATTATACCTACTAAAAAGGGTAGTTTTGTCAATAAATAGGTACTTTTTATAAATCAAATTAAAAAAAGCAAAGTATAATTGAGTTAAAATTAACATATTCTAATAATAGAATATATTCTGCCAAAAACGAATAAATTTGTGCATAAATAAGTTTCTCAAAGTTTCAGATCAGATTTTGATATGTTCGAGTCATTTTTAAATATTAAATTTAGACTTAATTCCAATTATTTCACTGCTGTGTTTAATTTTTTTTGTGGTGTAAAAGTAAAATAAAAATTAAGTCTTATAATATTAATTTTTAAAACATCAAAAGCAAAAAATTTAAAATTTTAAAAATTCATATTTTGCCTATTTTTTTAATGTTTTTTTGGGCCACCCTATAGATAAACTCTGGCAAAAAATATATGAAATGATTTGTTTCTTTTTTAACTAATTAAAAAGTGCTAAACTCGAATTTATGCATAATGAGCAGGGGATTAAAATCTATAGGTTTTTAAGTATATAAAGCAAAAAATAGTAGACCACCTAATATATTTAATAACTGATTCACCACAAAAATTAAGGTTGTAAAATCCTATTATTACTATGGTTAGGAATAGTTTATACTAATCTCAGATTAGTCAGTAAAATTTAATTTTATAGTATGTGGGAAGCATTAAGTTTTCCTTAATTGTAAACGTGATATGTAATGTCAGATGTAACTAAGTATGTATAAGATTTTTCGATTAAACGTTTTGAGAAACTTTATTTTATTATTGAGTTGGCGCGAACACTGTTTAAATTTATAACGCTAAAAATAAAATTGCATTTCCTTTTGGAAAAAACTTAAATCAGTTAGTTTGACCTGCATTGATACAATTTTCAATAATTTTTTGTTTTTTTGTTAAACATATGTGGGCGAAATGTATCTTCATGTGTATGTGACAAACCCCATCATTGAAAAGTTCTTATTTTTTATATACTTATTTGTTTTAAATTTTTCATTATTTAATGAACCTTGTGATCATCTAAGGACCATATTATATATGGGTCATTCCACCAAATAACTTCTTTTGGGGTGTGACCAACACGGATTTTTTTTTAATTTTGTGAATTATTCTCTACATCAAAATAATGACTCACTGAAGATTTGAGCTATTAATATTAAGTATACTTTTGTAGTAATAATTTTTCAAATTTTGACGATACTTTTCGTTAATTTTTTTGTTGTAAAAATGCTTTATAAAATACAATCTTAGCTTTTTAATGGAATTATTCATTTTTTATTATAAGTAACAGAATACCCTCAGACATTTAATTAAAGGGAAAAATGATTTTTCTGGTCTTGCGGCAATTTTTATTTAAAATTAGATATTTTTTTCTGACAGCAGAGAATTCATGAAATATGAAATTTTCACGAGGGGCTTTGTTTAAATACAATTAAATATTAGAGTATACAATCAAAGACGGCAAGGAAATCTATAAATGGCACTGGATTTTCGTATTGTTCATCTTTTTCGGGAGGAATGAAGGAAGGAAGGAAGGAAGGCAATCTATAAATCAGGCTTAAGGCTCAATATTTCCGCAATACTGCACTAATAGCTAATGTCTAGTGTATAGTGGGGACATATGAAGAAAGCTACTTGGACGGACAGTTTCATGAGATCAAATTTGGTACATATTCAAAACAATTTCTAAACGCTGGGGTTTACCACACCCCCATAATGTTTGTAACGCCGCACAGTGAGGCAAGGAACCTAAAAGTTGTCATTAAATGAAAAAATGAAACAGTAATTTTGGAAAGATTCACTTTATTTCAATTGTACAAACTCCCACGCATGAGTTGATAACACTGTTTTTACCAACGATTCTTTCTTTTTAGTGACTGAAACACGTGGCTTTTATTTGCGTTATTCCATTTGTTGTTTTATGTGGTGACAGAGTGTTAATTTAACTTAATCAGTTTGTGATGAAGGCCTCAAGTTCAGGTACGTGACGATATTTTACTATATTTAAAGTTTAAATTTTAAACTAATGATTAACCTAATGCGTTTTCATATAACTTGTGTTAAACATTTTTTTTTCGTAAATAATGATTAATATTATAAATTCCCTGCCTAACAAAGGTAAGTGACGTCATACTAAATCCAATATGGCGCCCCCTTCATGATGGCGGATCACAACCTCCTTGACTAGGGTATTAAATGATAGTTTTTGATGAGTAGAAAACGATAAGGTAGGCGATGTTATACGTCCCAAGATAACGGTTGTTCTATTTCTTCACAACCCTATTGCCATGGGTTTCAAATAAAAGGGTTTGACTATGATAAACGTTTAACGATAAGACTTAATAGGCTTCATAAAGATGTATATGTACATATATGTATATACACTTAAAGTGACTTTTAATGTAAACACGGGTAAAATTTAAAAACCATTTTGTTAAATAAATATATCGTTAGCTCTAAATTTAGTAAGTATGTATATCAAAATAAACGAATTGTCATTACTTTAGCGAGCAACTTTAAGTCACTTAAACTAATTAACATCCGGATGTTATAGCACTTAAAACCCTTAAAAACCGAATACATATAGTAGATATCAATTACGGAAATATTAACTTGGCTCAACACTTTCATCGTAAACTATGATTAATGCCTCTTTATTTCCTACGTTTGAACTTATAAATAGATTTGTCGTAGCGAATTAACCCCGAATGTTTATTTTACTTCCGCTTACTTCCGGTTCCGGACGAAAGCCATCTGCCTTCAATTAAGACCTATCGGCCTTAATGCAGACCGTGCCAAAATTAGTAAAAGGGTTATAAATTCCGTCTACGTCTCGAGCTTTAAAAGTGACAATATGGTTTCATGTTGTTTCCATTTGCTCAACTTAAAAGGCTCTAAATAATAAAATGTCGATGCAGATAAGCCTGGCCGCCCTTCTTATAATTTATTTTATTATTCCACCCTTAAACTTCCGTCGGAACTAAAAATAATCGTGCCGTCTAGGTATCGTTTCCTTTACCCTCGGTCCCTTATTAATCATTATATTATTTTTAAACCTTTAAAAAAAATTTGTGGTTGTAATAAGGAGATAAGAGGTAATTTCGCTACAAACGTAACATCCGCTAGCAATAATGAAATAGAAAGTATTACAATTCGCCAATCCTACATAAATTTATAAATCGTAATACGCATTTTAGAATTCAATTACATTTTTTCGTAGGTTCTCTTAAACCTTCATATTAGATAAGTATTATTTATTTATTAAAAGCAAATAATTGCCAAAATTTAAAATTTATACCAAAGATATTTTTTATAAAATTCAAACATAAAAAATTAAAAGAACATGACAGCATAAAATAAACTCACTTTGCATTGGAAAACTCAAAACTCAATTTTTAAGGTGTTATTTTACAACACAACTCATATTAATTTCATTAAAATAACGCATTTTAATTTATTGTATATAAAAAAAATATTTCTTTGTAAGCAATTTAAAATTTAAATAACATCAAACTTAATTTAACTTTTACAGACTATAAAAATCTTGGTTATATTAAAACTTTTCTAAAAATTAAAAGAAGCTGCATCACATTTTGCTTCTACAGTGACAGTCCGTATTTACGAGAAAAAAAAATACTTTTATGTATGGGTACCTTTTTTATTAAATAAATCAAATTTTGAAAAGCAAATATTAACATGACATTTAAAAGTTGGAAAAAAATCAACAGTTCT